TTGCCAAAGATACTCGACGTGCAAGCATGGCCCATTTTGGAAGGCGTCATGTGGGATTACCCTAGGGGGTGCAAGTGTGATTGTGTATTGATTACATGTATTTGTCTTGTATTAGGTTATCTAGCGTTTGATTTTATGTACATACAAACCCTAGGTCTAACCATGGTATAATTGGAAAACTGTAAATTGCGGAATGTAAATCTACGCTATTACAAAATAATGTCCGGGAGTGGGGATATACATGTACAAGGGGATGGGACTTATTTACAACCAAATCGAATGTCACAATCAAAATGTAAATATCGAACGTACAAATATAAGATAAAATGTGTATAGGGCAATATATTGTGTAAGTGTAAATGTGGGATGTACATGTATATGAATTGAGTAATTATGTAACAAGTGCGAAATGTGAAATTGAGTCGCATTAGGGTTTGACTTAGATATATGTTTTAATCTGTATTTTTGATTTATATGTTGAATTATGTACAAAAGAAAAGAAGTGTTTTGATTAAATGTTAAGATTTAATTAAAAGTATTTTAGTCAAATGCTTGTGAATTTCAATATTAAAAGATGTATTGAATTATTATGTACAAAAAAGAATGTTAACTAAAAAACAAAGAGTTTAATTTTAATTATGTATGAAAAAAAAGAAAAGATAATATATACAAATGTATTTCAAAAAATGTTTTTTTAAGTTAATTGTGTATAAAAAGTATTTTATTTATTTTATATACAAATGTGTATTAATTAAAAGAAAATGTTTTCAAATTTAATTTATATGATATGTACAAAATGAATGTTCTAAAATGTATGTACAAATATCTTATCTAAAAATGTCTTAACCTTATGATAATAAAAAAAGCATTTTAATTAAGTTAGTATTTTTTCAAGGAATAAAGAATATTGCTTTTATAAAATAAAAAGAATGGTTAGTATTTTATAAGAAGAGGAAGTAAATATTGTTTAGGAAGTAAAAGAAAGAAAAGGTTAGTGTGTCAATGGGCTTTGAATAATTAGGAACGGATCAGGCCCGTGGATCTAGAACCAAAATTAGGGTTAGGCGTTTTGTTTTCAGAACGAAAGTTAGGGCTTGACAGCGGCGCCGCTCGTATGTTCAACGTTCTTTCCGTCTTCATCTTCATTCGGCCACCAACATCACCCTCCACACCTTTCTTCCCTCCAAGGCACGGTCTTGGCGCTCTTGACTTTAAGGTTTGATTACAATGCTTTATATTTTTATCTCCCTTTTTTACGAATTTGTGTTTCAATTTGGGTTCTGATTTCCGACTTTGTACCGTTATGATGTGGTGAAGAGGAAAGGGGGAGAAGATTGCTACCTGATTTTGGAGATGGAGGAGAGAAGAAGGGGTGATGCTTCAGGAGGCCGGAACGGCGGTGATGGAGCTTGCTTGGATGCCTTCTTGGTAACTTCGTTCCTTGCTACTTATGATTTAAGGTTTTGATGATGATATGTACTGAGAAGCCTAATATGTTCACTTCTTTACCTCTTGTCCCTTTGCTACTGTGATGCCTTTATATGGTTGCCTGAGTATTGTTCCACTTTCGTTTTTCTGATTTGCCTATGTGTGCTTGCCTATGATGAAGCTTGCTTCTGAGGCTCCCTGAGTTGCTGTATGCCTGTTGCTTTGAATTGTTGAATGCTAGCTTTTGAATAATTTTGAACAGTTATTGCCTTGAATGGTGGATACTATGTATTTGGGTGCCCTTGAATCGTTTATCGCCTATGATGAGGGGAGAAACTCTGAGGCTTGGTGTTGGTTTTGAATGCTTGGTTATGCTTGAGGGGATAGCTTGACAGTATGGTGTTTTGGTGATTGAACAGGGATTTTGGTAGCTTAGGCCTTTATGGTTTGGCTCAAACTTTGACAGTGTGGTATGTTCAGTATCTTTATGTTTGCTTGGATTTGGCAGTTATGGTGAAGCAAGTTTGGACCTTGAAGATTATGGTTTGTTTGAGGATTGGTTTGGATAATATTTGGTTATTGACAGTATGTAGGCAGGTCCTGAGTTTTTGTTGTGTTTGATGGCTTTAGTTTGATCAGTTTGCAAGTATGGTCTTGATCAGTTTGCAGGTATGGTGAGGTTATTGGTGGTTTTGGTTTGACAGTAGTGGTGTTGGACTTTGAAGATTATGGTTGTTTTAGGTTTAAACTTTGACAGGTTCAGTAGTTTTTTTGAGTTGAGGCTAATGCTGGTTTTTGTATGGTTATGGACGAGGTTCAGGTTTTGATAGTGTTTTGTTCTCTCCTGCTTCTGCTTCAACTGAACCGCTTTGTATATATTTTTTTCTATCTTAAAACTCCCTCTCCCTTTTGCCTGCTGTGCTGAACTGTTTTATTGGCTTGTGTGTACTGAGGTAGAATTGGTATGCTCTGCATATATTCCTCTCTCTTCACTTCTGCATTGGTTTGTGTATATTTTGTTTTCTATCCTCACCTGCTATGCTGCCTGCTGAACTGCTATGCTGAGTTTTTTTGGATTTGTATAATCTTTTTGTCTTCTCCTTTCCTACTGTCTAATGCCTAACCTGTATCTGCTGCCTTTATCTCTCTTCTTCTTTCTCCTAAAGTACAGCTTTTAGATTTAATATGATTATATTTCTGTACTTGCTCTGAAGGGGTTTGACTAGGGAAATGATGTTTAGATCTCTTGCATAGCACATTTTGCATCTTTTCCTCCAGCTTTTGCACTTTGCTCTGACTTTGCATTTTGACCAAACCTTTTCATGACAGTTTGGGTACCTGTGACAGCAAATGCACTTTTGAAATCTTTGATATCTTTGGCATTTTGACAGTTAGTGTCTTTGCTTTTGGATAGAAAGTTGAGATTGAACTTTTCAGTTTAGTTTGGATTTGGGATTTTGAATTTCTATGCAGCTTGAAATTTGTAACTTGTGCATTTTTGACATTTGCATATCATGAACAAAAAATCTTCCCTCTCTGTGAACCGGGAGAAATCCCGTGATTTGCAGAGAGGGTCAACTGATCCCAGTCAGTGGCCCCTAATGATGAGCAATTTTAACTGTCTTTGCTATTAATTGCTTTCTGACTTTTCTTGTTTCTTTTTGCAGATAAAACAATGGAGCACCGGAGCGGAGTGAAGAATGAAGAACATTAGAAAATAGGATAGTTTTTTTTTTTTTCATTCTATGTAATATTTAAATTAAATGTAAATTATTGTCTGTAATTTAATTTATAAACAACAATTTGTACAAATAATTCAAATATCAATAAAATCCAAATTATCCAATTAATTCTAATTTCTTTATTGTTTATTTATTTATTTAAAATTCTTAGAATTAAAACAATTGAAAAATAAATTCAATCATTTAATTTCAGAATAATAAATAACTAAAATAAAACAACATTGATCAATTAAGTCTGTCTTATTCAACATCCAGAGCTAAGCAGCAGTCGATCCAAATAGACTGATCCAACGCATAAGCACTGTGAATCCAACACTGCATATATCTTTTGACTGATGAATTCAAACCAATCGCCTCCTCTTACTGATTTGTCATAAACACTGATTCTTTGCAAGTACTGTAAATCCAAACTGCACACCTTCTTTGACTGGCCCAAACAACTGAATTTACACCACTGTCTCCTTTGCTGATTAAACCAAGATAACGCGAATTTTAATCCGAATCTTGAAATAAACCGCAAAGTGTTGTGGAATTTAGATTCTTCTGAGAATATGCCCGTAAAACCCTAATTCCCGGTTAAATGCCAAATCACGCTCGCTTGATCAAAATTGAACCAAAAATCAACTAAACCCTAAGCCCACTGTATGAAACAACTCAGAGCTCTGAAAATCAGTAAAAACCCTAATTCTGCTTGACTGTCAAGAAAAGTCCGTTTGTCCGATTCTTGCGCCGGTTTGAAAAGTCAGGAAATGTTTGAAGCTGAGATTTCTTGGGGAAGAATGCGAGGGCAAATTTTGGGGTACAACAATAAGAAACAATGATTTACAATTAATTACATTGACCTACCTCATTAGACTATTTATACACAAAAATAAAATCCTAAATATCCTCTAAAAAGATATAAAAAGATCTAAAACAATATTTCTAAAATATAAATTAATATCTAAAAGATATTCCTCAAATATAAATTAATTCTAATATTTATCAAATATTTATCAAGTAACTATAGGTAACCACATTATGTGAACCAACCCACATTTTGATTCTCATTTATAATGCAACCAATTATTTTTATAAAATGGGTTTATCTATGCGAAATGGTTTCTTATCCATTCAAACTTGATTTAAAATTGTTTTTTTCTTAAATTAAAAACCGGTTTTTACGTTTGCTGAGGAGTTGTTTTTCATAAATTTAGATTAGTATATTCATATAGTATGAATCAAGAGAGAAGAAAATGAGAGAAATTATACATCCATGTTGGATTGGGTACATAAACAATCTTAGAGTTGTGGTGGAGTCAAAGCATATTGATTTGTGTTTGAAATATATTAGGAAAGATTGAGAAACTATAGATGCGTGGTGATTTGAGTTGTAAATGAATGATTCAAAGCATATTGATTTGTGTTTGAAATAGATTGGGAGTTTTGGAAGTTGAAATCAATTTTTATAGCAGGAGAACCAAATTTGCCCCAAAAGTTGAAAAGATAAGTTGGAGCAATAGCTCAAGTTTGTGTTGAATTGGCTTGAACAGATTTCAAAAAGACAAATCAGTAGTAATTCTGAGGTTGTATAACATCAAGACGGAAAATGAAGTTGTCTTGTGTTTATAAGCAGTGAATGATGAGGACTTATTTTGCAGCTTATAATATGATAAGCACTTATGAATAAGGCATTTGTACAACAATATAGAACAAATTCAAGCGAGATAAATGTCAATCCAATCAGATCCGTAATAAAGTATGTAACAAAATGTTAGGGTTTGAAGAAATAAAAGAAAACAACATATAATAGAATAGAATTACGAGGATTGAGTAGTAGTAGTATCATCAATGTCTGGAAACTTTTGCTTGAATGAATCTTGGCGCTGTAACCACATCATGTGTCCCTGCAAATCGAATACCTCGATCGATCAGGAACAGAGGGAGAGAGAAGAGAATAGGTTAGGTTTTTACCTGGAGAGCAGCAGCCCAAGTGATAAGGAAAGATGCAAACCAGAATTTCTTGTCCTTTATCACTTTTTTCAATTCCATTTTTCTCACTTCACTCCGACAACAAGCTCGAACAATTCATCGCCGTTCCTGGCTGCATCAACACCACCTTGCTTCTAATTCGTTGGGCTTGTAAAAAAACGCCCAACACTGCTACTTTCTATGAAACCACTCACACCACATATTTCTACTTCACACCCTACTTGCCATCTCTACATCTCAAATGAAATTATCTTATTGTCCTTAACAAAAAAAATCCATTATTTTATTTTTAATGACAAGTTGCTATTTTTGCTTATGAATTAATGTCAAATCTAATATTAATATAATTTTTAAAAAAATTCATTATTTCATTTTCTTTTCAATAATTAAATATTATTATTTACTTTATTTTATACATATTTATTTATTTATTTAGAAATTAAATATTACATATTCTAAAATATATATTTGGACCTAAACTCCAACTTTACAAGTGCAACCTAATCTCTAACATTACAACGAACCTAGTGTAAAAGTATTTTATAAGACAATTTCTAAAAAGATCCTTGCTATTTCTCCAGACCCTGCGTGAATTTTTCAAAATGCCCTTTGAATTCGAAAGTGCACTTTGAAACAATCGGCCGAACAAATCAATCGATAATAAAATTAATGGAGTCGTCATCGAACGTTTTTTATCCCACAGAAAAGGAAAGGTAAACATTGAGTAAACCTGAGAAGGGAGAAATTACGGTCAAACGACCGAGAGATCGAGTAAGAGAGTCTGTTACGCGAGAGGAAGATATTAGCACCTCACACACCCGTAGTACTCAACGATATCCACTCTTGTTATTCTAATCTTAATGGGTGTGGTCAAAATCTACGTCTAAGGTTTAAAGCAAAAAGAATAGGGAATGCATGCAAAAGAAAATACGGGGAAAAAAGGAAATAGTTGCAAAGCTTCACTCGGTTGAGCCCCGTGACCAAATGCCTACGTATCCTTTTTCAGGAATCAGAGCGATGTAGTCCGACTCAATTATTTTGGTAGGTTTGTGTTTTTTAGTTGAACAATGTTATATTCAATCATTCCACCGTTGTTCGACCTTTGAGGACTTACGACCTATAGTGAAAAGGAACTAACATATTCTTAGAAGAGAAATGCCGAGTGGCTAAAAGAAAGGAGTTGGTTAGTGTTTTTTACCTTGAAAAAGGATTTAAGTTTATTAGAGTATTTTGAAGTTTGAAAAGGAAAAAGAAAATCTTTTAGTTTTAAATGCAAAGATGCAAAAGAAAGAAAACATCTAAGAGAGACTATCTAAAATCTAACCCCTAATGTTATCAATACAAAAATGGCCCTATGTCAAGGATGGAAGGGAAATTTAGCTATGTTAACATGCATGAATTACTACCCTAATGTTATCAATACAAAAATGGCCCTATGTCAAGGATGGAAGGGAAATTTAGCTATGTTAACATGCATGAATTACTATCCTAATGTCTAGCTTGCATCGGGAGAGAAACAAGCATATCCTAATGGAGCATGGTATATACAAATAAGCAAGCAAGCAAAGGAAACACATACATGGCGAGAGTAGTGTATCCCAAACAAGCAAAAGAGTGCACATACAGGGCGAGAGTAATGCGTCTCAAATAAGCAATAATCTCAATTAAGGGGAGCATATACATGGCGAGAGTAGTGCACACTAGCTCAAGAAAAATGGCCTAACCAAGATATCGTGAATCAAGGTAGGTAGTAAAGAAAACCAAGAGAAATGCTTAAGCTAGGGGGAGCGGATCACCCGAAGCAAACAAGCGGGATTGGCAAAAGTAAAAGAATATGAATGCTTTAGCCAAGGGGAGCGGATCACCCGAAGAAAACAAGTGGGAGTAAGATGAAATAAGAAAAGAAGAGAAATTATTTAGCTAAGAGGAGTGGAATACCCGAAGCAAACAAGCGGGTAGCGGAGTGTCAGCATTGGCCATTGCGAACTCCTAACAAAGTGTGGGGGTTGGAACAAAACGCTTTTCCACTAGATCGACTCATTACAAGATTGGCACACCAAAGCATCGACGTACAACGTGAGCTAAGGATGACACGAACTAGAATATGCGGGAGTCGGATACTAACCCTTTACGTTCGCCTCCTTTTGAGGACTTATCATCTGTTATATGCGAGCGCAAATGTAAATACACCTGCAGAATACCTACTTCAATGGTAGGGTTTTTAACAAACAGAAGTAGCACACATAATACACATAATGCGGAATCTACCTAAACGGGTATTTAAATAAACCAGAGGGGTTCCTGACATGATCAGCAGCGGAGATCCCCGTCATGCATCACTATTCCTAAAAAAGCAGTAAAATGCAGAATTAGTAAAACGAAAGAGATATAATACCAAACAGATAACAATCCATGTTAAACAAGCAAGAAAATAAGAAACCCGGAAAAATTTGAGCAAGATAGCATCAACAACAAGAGAATAGTCAGAAATCGAAAATGTGAAAATAAATCACAAGTGGTGTGTATCGGGCACAACCACACAATCATCCTGCATGAAAACACAATCTAGACAAAATACACAATTGTGCAAATATAGATCTCGCAGAGAGATAGAGATGGAGAGATAGAGAGAGAGAGAGAGAGAGAGAGTCTGAATAAATCATGTCAAAAGAGAATTCATATCCCACAAATAAAGTGGAACACGAAGCAATCGAAATGCAAACGCATAAGAAGCGAATTCGTGTCCCACAAATAAAGTGAAACACGAAATCGGAAGAAAGGTCTAACTAGAGTTATTATGAATAAACCTGCATCAAACTGTTTATGAACCTCCTCTTTGATCTTCTTAGATATCTCAGGATGAGTTCTTAGAAGCTTTTTCTTAACGGGAGGACACTCTTCTCTTAGAGGTAGTTTGTACACAACAATGTCAGTATCCATCCCAGACACGTCTTCATAAGACCAAGCAAATATGTCAGCATACTCTCAGAGCATTTCAATCAACCTCTGCTTGACAATGTCTTCTAATGCAGCCCTAATCTTGACTTCTCTATTGACCTTCTTGGTACCCAAGTTGATCACTTTTATAGTCTCTTGGTGCGGCTGAATGACTTTTTCTTTTTGCCTCAACAATCTGGATAACTCTTCTGGAAGCTCACAATCTTCTTCAGCGTCTTATTCAGCTTGATAGATTGGATTTTTAAAGTCATAATGAGCCATAGAAGAATCGTTATCGACAAGATCCGGGATTAATGGAGGACTATTTCTGCATGATTGATTTTATTTTATTTTAGTTTTTAGATTTAAAAAATAAAAATAAAAATCACATTACCAAAAATTTGAAAATTAAAAAGAAAGACAAGGAGCGAAATATTTGAATGCAAAAAGATGTCTTTTATTGATGGTAATTTTTTAAAATGAAAAACATTGTGGCCCTACAGCATGTTCACTACGTCTTGGGCAGAGCGCGTGAGCTATTACATGATAAAAATAAAAGAAAATTACTCTTTAAAACTGATAACTTGAATGACTTCTTCAATTGAATAATTAGCGAGCTCTTGTCCCATAACAGTAGGATGAATCCACTTGTCCATTTCAAAGTCGTTGTCACCTTCCTCCCTCACAACGTGATCTTCCTCATGAATAACACCATCGCTGATGAACTTGATGGGAGGAGGTGGAATACCTTTCCTGGAAATAACTGGTATCTTCTTCCATGGCACAAAGCCCAAACCTTTCTTGTCCTTCTGAGTGGGGAGGTCCAACACTCTGCCCCAGTCTTCTAGATGTCCAGACTGAACCACTGTTTGAGCCTGCTTGTAAGATGCCATAGAGATCTCTGACTTTTTAACTTCTTGACCAGGAACCTTGACAACTTGCACAGTTTCAAACGCTTGGAACGAGGTCTCATGCACCCCATCTTCAATCTCAACATAACGGAAGGTACTCAGATGGCTGACGATATAGTCCTCTTCACCACAAATGGTGACAACCTTCTCATTGAGTGGAAATTTCAACTTTTGGTGCAGAGTAGAAGTCACAACACCGGCCCCATGGATCCACAGGCGCCCTAACAAACAGCAGTAGAAAGGATTAATGTCCATGATAAAGAATGTCACTTCAAAACTCTGAGGACCTATCTTCACAGGTAACTCAACCTCGCCAAACACAGCTCTTTTCGACTCATCAAATGATTTAACAATCAGATCACTGGGCCTCAGCACAACCCCTTTGTAGTCCAACTTCATGAGAGCAAACTTTGGCAACACATTGAAGGATGATCATGTGTCAACCAGAACATGAGATAAAGTACTCTTAGAAATCTCCATTGAGATATGCAGTGCCTTGTTGTGCTTTCTCCCCTCATGAGGTAAATCGTAATCAGTGAAACCCAAACCATTTCTTGCACAGGTACTGGACACAATGCCTTTAAGTTGGTTCACGGAAATTTCTTGAGGAACAAAAGAAGTCCCCAACAATTTCATCAGCGCATTTCGGCGGGGTTCAGAATCCCGGAGCAAAGCAAGGATTAAAATATTTGAGGGCGTCTGGCTCAACTGCTCAATAATCTTATAATCACTCTTCTTTATGTACTTTATCAATTTTGTCACTTCATTATCCATCTCAGCATTCAGGGTCAGAACAGGAGGATTCTGCCCCGGCTTTCCACCATTATCCATTATTTGTTTGCCCTTCACCTCAGTTGAGGCATCTGCGCTACTTTCTGCCTGCTCTAGTGGAGAGAAAATCCGACCACTATAGGTGATCCGAGTTTCGCTGACAATATCATGAACTTCAGGTTTTTCTTGTTCATACTTACCTTCTTCAGGTTTTTGAATAACAACTCTCTACCCCTAGTGATAAACTTCACCTCCATAATGCCAAGGAATTATAGTGTCGCTGACATATGGCACAGGACCAGGCGCAATGATAAGCAAAGGAGACTTTTTTGGCAGGCACTAGAATTGTCACTGACACACGAATTGTCTTTGGCTTGACAGGAATAGTAATCACATCAACCTCATCTTCTGTAACCTCAGGCTCAACAACCATGTAGTCAAACTGAAGAGTTCCTTTAGTAATCAAATCCTGAACAACATATTTCAAAAGTTTGCAACCTTCTGGCTGGATCAAACAAT